GTGATTAGCAGGTAAAAAATCTCTGAAAGAACAAATGTACTACTGAAATGAGACAGGTGTGCAGGCCTGTCTTGTGTGTTTGCAATGTGCTCTGTGCTGCAGGCTCTCCATAGCTCCATATTGGATAACCAGTATGGATGGATGGATATGTTTCCTTACCTTTCCATCTTTCCAATTGTAGGTGGGTACTATGGGCAGGTAGGAGTCAGGAATGGTGGTATTCCGTGTACACTAATTCAAACTTGCATTCGGCCAGTTTTTAAGTCTCTGTACAGCTGAAGGAGAGCCGGTTAATCTCTGTCAAGACCATAACAGAGTTGTCTGTTTAGTTGTGCCATACTAAGGATAATCAGACACACATGTCAGGTGATCTGGTTCATTCATATGCTACTGCATGATATGAATATAGTAGTAGATTTTTTTTGGTGTAGTTTCAGAAATTATGCAGAAAAACTACTTTCTCCTTTCTGTTACCCAAGGTTGCTTTCTATTGAAAATTTGTGCCATCTGGCCTGGTCAGGTTGGCTACCACAGCTCATGCCCCATTGACAAGGTGCCCACAGCTATCCACAGCTAAAAGGTCAAAGAGCTCCTGGTTAACCCCACCTCCCCTTCCAGGAAAGCCCTCTGTCCATTCTTTTTCACCTTAATCCACATGCCTCTGTTAGGGACCGGGCCCCATAAAAGTCTCTCACAGGTTCCTTCATGGGGAACTGAATCTGAAAGTAAGTTTCCTAGTTCCTCTTTTTCTCAGTGTCTCTATGCTGTATTGTACTGTATATACCAATGTGTGTGCATGCTAACTGAAGCTGTGTGTCTGTATGTGCGTGCAAACAGCATCTCATCTTCAGCAGAACTGACGTGGCCAAAGTGGTTTTGAGGAGCATCTCCTGTCATGCCCCGTTAAATGAGCGAGCCCCTCTCCGCATGGGCGTGCCATGCGACCTGGTCGGGCACTCAGCCCCCGCCATCTTATGCAGGCAGCGCTTGCCATCACTCTGCCCTCTCCCACTACAGGCCACACTGGTGATCAAGAGGAACACTGGAGTCCAAGCAAAATAATTGATAATGAGAATGATGTTTAATTATGGCACTTCCCCTTCCTGTCCTGCTCATATCTGACTATTTTTGGAGAACTTCGATTTGGTCATCTTCTCATAGGTGATTTACTGAGAGGTTGCAGCTGTGTTAATGTGACATACATTACATTATTAACTGGTCCCCATGTTAAGACCTTGTATTCTCTATATAGCAGGCTAATGAATGCTTATTCCATGTACTTTACCTCATTGAATTAACCATAACAAATATAAGTTAAATGTCTTTTCTAGTACAATTTGGTGTCCAGTGACTATGTCCCCAGAAAAGATCTTTCTTTATAAAGCTATTTATTGAAAGAGAGAAGTGAAAGTTTTTTTTTCTCATACTCCACAATGATCCTTACCCCCAATATCCTCAGAGCATGCTTTGATAGCCAGATAGATACTGACCGTTGAGTAGTCTAACAAGTCCCCACACAAAGTTCTCTTATTCCCCAAAAGCAGGGGCTTTCCATCCAATGGGATGACAGCCAAGGCACCTGTCCTGGGGTTGACTGAGGTGATGGTATTATGTAGAAGACACCAAACTGCCAGTGACAATGCATTTGCTGTTCACCCAAACAGCGGCCTTTCCGCCTTGAGGCAGTGAGCAATATTTTTTAAACTTCAAAGCCAAGTCTCAGCTTTTGTTAATATTTATTTTGCATGTGCTGTTATGGAATGCATGAAAGGTCAAAGCATATTGAATGAGCACAATTTTTGGAACCTCACATAAAAGGTTGACCAGCCTCGACCATTTGTTACCAATTGATTTCTCACCTTTAAGACACAGAGGGTTGAACATTAAGACTGACTTGGTTCTTGCATTTTAGTTGACTGTGAGGAGGGTTAATGTACATCACTGAGACCTGGAATTGCACTAAACGAACAAGTATGTGCTGTAACCAGAAGGTTTAGAAGTTCCATCTAGTTTACGGCGCTTGACTGCGATATCAGGAAACGTATCAAATGGGCACATTGTGAGCTAGCTGAATGACACTTACGGCGGCCTGCTCTGCTTGTGCTCCGTTCAAAAGTATCATTGTGAAAAAAAATCATGGTGACAGGCAGCTTTTAGACAGAACTTCAGTCTGGCTTGAATTTGATCTGCATGCTGTTCAGAAGAAGCACAAAAGAAACACTCTTGCTTGACCCCCTTAAAATAGACAGAATGCTGCTGAGGAACGTAAAAGCAGGAGGTGAAAACACAGCCGACAAAATGAATGTCATCATTTTGCTGGTGTGCAGACGAGCCGTAAGTAATGGCGTGACTGCTGCCCCAGGAGGGCGACTTCGTGGGACGGTGTTCGGTAAAAACGTTGGGCTGTTAATAGCTACTGGAGCTTTAGGCTATTGGAGCAAGCGCAGTGGTTATTTTATCATCCTTTTAAAAAGGCCATGCCTTCCTGTAGTGACAGGCTGAGAAGGCCCACTGCATTTCTGTACTGGCCTCCAGTTTTGCAACATGACTGTCCTCTCTTTACAAACTATCAGCTCCCCGCCCCCTGAGCTGACATCTAATCTCCATCAAGATGACAGAATAGTAAGGAAGCATGACTTTGTGCAGGATTCCCAGCCTCGAAACAGTCTGGTAAAAGAAAACAAATGAAGATAGCAATGATAACTGAAATAAATAAAAGCATCCAATCTTAAATACCCAAAATTGACTCTTTCCACCTTTTATCATCAGGCATTAGTTGCTTTGCAGTTTTAATTAATTTGCACAATAGAAAATTCACAGAAATGTCTCTGTATGCTGTATATGTATGTATGTATGTATGTATATGTATACACACACACACAATATGAGGTATGCTTAGATTAAAAGACAGGCTAAAGTTTTGAAATAATGTGACGCAAGTATAAGCCTTCATATCTGATAGTCCCAGCTTTGTCTGCATTGTTGCAGCTGATGCTGCCCCCACCCCCCACCCCCAATCTGCGGCCTGAAACCTTACATCTTTATTTAGAGCCCAAAATCAGGCAGCTGCTTTTGGTGGAGATTATTTAACACTAAATTTTCACAATCTGTACATAACACACATCATTACACCGTACCAGTAAGAGACAAGACACAGATACAGCGCCAGGTGTGAGCTTATGCCAAAATAGCTGAATTTTCAAACATTAGGAATGATATTTCAAACTGAATTACAGAACAGTGTCGCTGTTAATAGTCGGGGGGGGGGGGGGGGGGGGGAGGTAGACTATTTTCAAATAGTTTTATGTACACTTTGTGTCAAATACATCAAAGGAAAAAGAATATCAGTTCTTGAAGCTCAATGCTGGTATTTCATTCCCATAATCTATAGCATACACTACATTTTGTATTCAGCTTCATGAGACAATAGAAAAAAATATTGTTAAAATCAGTTGATAATCTAAAGGCAGATTTTAGGAAGTTTAGAAAGATTTCACCCAGTTTTTGACTGAACTGGTGAAGAAACGAGCAGAACTGGGAGTTAAGAGGCCTTCAGTGTTTATGATGGCTAAACGGGAAGCAGTGCATTCCAGTGCATTCCTGTAGCCACAGTGTGAACCTGTGTGAATCCACAGTGAAATCTGCTTGCAGAAAACCTGCCATGTCATCCTATAGCTTCTCTACCAGCAGAAAACACTAGTGAATTCTCATCTTGACTTGATGGGTTTCTTTTACTGAACAGTTCGTACTAATTGAGATTTTCTATGCATGACGTATCATGAACCCAAAGAATCTCATTTATATCACTGAATTGTCTAACAGGGCAAATTAAGTACATTGTCTAAGTTCCCCCCCGCAAGATTACACCAGCACACCCCCCAGGATTACAGTACACCCACTCTCCAGTACAAGCGACTCCGGTCAATACTCTGCTTCAGGGTCCTTCCAGATGTACCAATGGTTTGCTTTATTCCACAGAAGAATAAGAGATAATCAGTAAATATACTAACTGGGCATACATCACATAATGTAAAGGTATAATCCGTGAGTGAATTTTTTGGGAAAATGTGTGGTATATAACCACATACACAAAGGCTTTGAAACTGCAATCTTACTGCACATAAACACCTTGAAACTTTCATCATAATGGATCTTGTGTTTATTTTTTTAGCACAAATCCCACTGTTGGATCTCTTAGGCATCTTTGAATTTCCAGCCATCCATCCATCCATTTTCCAACCCGCTTATCCTACTGGGTCGCGGGGGGTCCGGAGCCTATCCCGGAAGCAATGGGCACGAGGCAGGGAACAACCCTGGATGGGGGGGCAGCCCATCGCAGGGCACACTCACACACCATTCACTCACACATGCACACCTATGGGCAATTTAGGAACATATTTGAATTTATTTTTCATATAAAAATTATGGTGTGTATGTCCTGTGATAGGTATAGGCGCCACATCCGGGGTTATTCCTTTAGCTTCTGGGATAGACCCCTGACCCTCATAACCCTGCATAGGACAAGTGGGTACAGAAGCTGGAATGGATGGATGGATGGATGGATGGATTGATTTTATAAAAATTTGAGTTCAAGATTTTTATAACATAGGGAGTCTTTAAAAAAAACTGGAAAACTATTCTAAAGTGGTAATAATCACTCACCTCCGTCCTGTGACTAGACAAACTTCTATAGATATTTTATCATTTCTCAGTTATGAAAACTGGCTGGGGTCGTATCTTTGATCTGCTGTTATCATTTTTCTTTCCTAAAATGAACGATTTTACGGAATAAAGAATTAATGGAGCAAAGAGGCGTTGCGGCTGTTAGCAGGCTGCAAGTGTCAAGCAGTTTCGCCCCCCCCCCCCCCATCTGCGCACCTGCTAGCAGCAACGCCTCCACCGCCGCAGCAGGGGGCCTGAGCACGCAGAAGCACGCTAGAGGTTAAAAATGGAAGTGGGGGCTATGCTCAGGGGACCAGGGCTCACTAATGACAAAACGTCAACAATACAGCAGCGAGGTGCTTCCATTTTTGAAATGCAGACATTACACGAACATCTCTGTAGAACAGATGAAGGACCACACACTAAACATTTACACAGTGAAGGAGACCTACGACCAAGAACAAACAATGCAAAATGATTTTTAGCAAAGTAGAATGGATGTACTGCAGGTTAGTGGGTGTCATTTGTTCATTTCTTGCTCATTTGTCTCTTATTATTAATGATTTGACCTTGTGATTTTGTCGTCATGTATGTAGTGTGCATCCAGAGTAAATTTTGGAAGTGCCTGCATGTTTTTGTGTGTCTGTGTCATGTATGCTGTATGGATATGGCTCATATCTGATTCATTTCCCAGTTTGAATGTGCATGCGTGTGCATGCGTGTGCAGTGTGCCAGCGTGCGCACATGCATTAAGCGGTCAGAACCATTCTTGTGCACAGACAGAGGTGACGGGCCACATTGCTCTGTAATTTTGCTATATTTTTGGCCTTTTTCCTTCCCCTCATACTGGCTTGGTGACCCATTCGTCGCGTCTTGCCCCGCCTCTTTTCTGTGTTTTTCCAGGGCTTCCATTACAACACCACAGAAGTTTCTGCCCTGCCACCGATTGCTGACATGCAAGACGGCCAGTTCAAAGGAAACGGCGCTATCTTGCCATCTTATCTCCAGAGCCTTCTTTCAACAGACAGTTAAAAGAATTCACATGTACCTATCAATAAAAATGCCTATGAGTGGTCCAAATGTATATCATTCTTATTTGTTTCATTGATTGTGTCTCTGCAAATTCTTTTGTAAATTTTCAAGCATAAAATTCTGTTTGAGATTTAAAAATGTAGAATTTTTTATAATTTCTACAAATGACCAAAATAGTGATAATAGGAATTATGCTAACAGAATATTGTCTAAGTAATAACATTATTACTGAAATCCTGTAATGTTAGAGTAAAATATATGCATAAAACAATATGACAACAGATATCAAAATTCATGTAAATAATATAAAAAATCCCATATTTTCAATCTCAGTATAAATTTTCCTGTTCATTCAGTAAAACTTCATACATTGACACCAGTATTTCATTTTCATACATCACTGTTAAAAACCTGCATTTACTGGGTAATCGGGTGGATTTTTATAAATAAATACAGAATAAAGGCTATACCAGGGTCATCTCATCTGGCTATTTATTTAGTATGGAATATATCCCACCTGATCCACACTGCTGTCACTTCCTCAAAATAATGTCACAGTGCTAGACTTTGATTAAAAAAGGAACAAGTGTGTGTCTCCCTACTTCCCTTTTAGTTCACAATACCTATATGTTTTTAGAAATTGTCAAAACATTTTAATGAGCGTCCCACAATGAAACATATGAAGTTAGAAGTACTATTAATTTACTTATCATGAATTAAAACTATTATTCATATATAATCCATCCATCCATTCATCCATTATCCACTACTTATTCAACAATACAATGTATACTATGTATCTAGAGTCATTACATGTACGTATACAGATATGTGTGTGTGTCATTTTGTTAAATAATGTTTGTAATAATTGTTAGAATATTTAAGCCAAAGTAAAATTAAACTGTAAAAAAGCCACAGTTTGGTCTGAAAATGTTTAATATCTTTGGTTATGATTAAAGAATTACATTACTGAATCCTTTTACATTCCAATAAATAGAAAAGAAAAAAAAAAAACTCCAGAAAAAAACTGATAGAGGATCACCCTATGATTGGCTGCTGTCTAATGGTCCTTGATGACTCAATTCTGATAGACAAATCACCAACAATCAGGAACTTTACTGTAAAAAGAACTAATAGTGTAAGAGGATCGTCTGCCACAGATATTGTATTAATAATTAAAGTGGCCTCACCTGAAAAAAATTGGCAGTACCGTAATTGCCCCTGTTCAGCGGTGCACAGTGCAACTCTATAGAAAGTGGTGAAAAAAGATTTTGAGGTTCGTTTCTTGGTTATGCAATGGCCTCAGCAAAGTTTTAAAAGAGCAAAGAAGAGTGCGGAGTATCAGGCCGAAAAGACTTCATGCTGCATGCATACAGAATGGAGGGGTACCTCATTCCACCTGTGAGTATTTCTGCTTTACTGGACTTTCGCCTCCATGGCCTTCCATAAACACTGGTTTTCATCATTCCAGTGACAAGTTTTATAAGATACTATTTCTAATTATTACAAGTTAGTCACTGGCAGTGCTAGCAGTCTTTGTATAGGGAAATATCAAGAAATGTTTAGAAGCATGTAAATATTTTTATCTTATTTTATTTTGCTCTAGGATTGTTATATTTTTGTTTAATTATACCTAAGTAAACAATCGGAGGAAAACATAGATTATATGTGAAAGTATGCTTGTTCAACAAAAGTTTCCGAAATATATTTATCTAATATAAATACTGGTAAATGGTCTTTCTTTGTGTAATGTAGGGTCATAATCCCATGTATGATTTTTGTTTGATTTTCTGAAAGCCACCCGAAGAAATCATGCATTATGATGCTGATATATTTCGACAGCCTGTAGAATATTACCCGTACTTCAACAGCGATGGGGAGGGCCCTGCCGGTGAGTAACAGAGCATATTTTCTTTCCTGTATTATATGTTATTATATTATATGTTATTATATATTTTCCAGTTTGTTTATATTATTGTGATGGTTATATACAAATATTTAGCTATGGAGTTTTTTCATTTCTGAAAAAACTGAGGCTTATAAACCATTACAACCCAACTGTATCCAATCTAAAAATATTAGTATTTATATTTAGAAATATTTTTATGTTCAGAACTGGCAGATCAAGATAAGCACATATGCAGTAGATTATGGATTGTTTAAGCAGCCAAGTGAAAAACAACAGCAAGTGGTTTAATGAAAAAAAGCACAAAAGCAAGTGAACTGTACCGATATAATCACTCTGTATAAAGCATAAAGAAAGGAAACAGATGCTATTATACCAACCCTGTCAATGACAGTTGGGTCTGACTGCACTTCAGTCCCCAGGGATAAAACCAAATAAATACTTTTATCGTTTAATGCCTCTCCCTTTTAAAAATAGTGTGTGTGTGTGTGTGTGTGTATATATATATATACACACACATATATATATATATATATATATATATACACACACATATATATATATATATATATATATATACACACACATATATATATATATATATATATATATATATATACACATATATATATATATATACATATATATACATATATATACACACACACATGCTATTTTTTAGTAAAATCTTAATTATGAGAGAGTTTTTAAATTTAGCTATAGATGTCATGAGTAACAATTTCCATAAGTGAAATAAAATGCAAGCCACTTATTTTCCACAGTACAGCAAAGTGGTGTATTTTTTTTGTGCTCAGTCTTTGGCTTATCTATGCAAGATAACCTCTGTTCTTCCTTCACTTTGGTGTTTAGGTGTTATATATATATATATATATATGATAATTGTTACAGTTTTCAAATAGCTGTACCTTTTTATGGAAGCAGTTGATGTTAAAGTGGTTGTTTCCAGACTTAAAAATCCCCAGATTTTAAAAAACAGTATATTCATTAGGAATCGTCAGGACTTGCCAAAACCCAAAAGTTATGTAGTTAATGCTGATATTGTGCTGTTATTTCTCTTTGTTTTGTACTTTTTTGTTATAATTTCATTATTAACTGATTAAGTCAACAAAGACTAAGAGAACTGTAATTTGAATAAATCTGACGTGATGAAGTAAAACAATGTCAATAAGTGTACAGCAATCATCATAATCTGCATGAGTGCTACAAGGAACTTATAAAAACGCTACACTGCAGGCCTTCATTGTTGATGTGGTGTGGTGGACAGTGCAACACTAATGGTGCAAACAGCTTTATTTTCACATCAGCAAAAACAGCACAGGAAATACTGGTGTGAACACAGTTTCTTAACTCTGTGGTCGAAAAGAGCAAATGATTGAACAGAGCTGAACAGGCACAGCTACAGAAATTATGCTTGTGGACCAAATAATTTACAAAGAAAACGTTATAGCAGGATTAACCTCACATTTATCTTTATTTATTTACTGCTTTTAACAGCCAATATTTGGCCAATCAACCACACAAACAGTTTTTTCAGTTTTTTCATTTTCAATTTTTAACTAAAAGAAGACTTTAAAAATCTAGCCTATTCCTCCTCTCTCTTCCTTCTAGATCATACATGGGACTACCACCCCCATCATGTTTACGCTAACGAGTGTGAGAACATTCAAGAAAACCAGCTGGCGGAGCTGCAGAGTGTTCCCCCCCAGCACATCTCTGGCCTGCACCGGGTCGGGGAACCTGAGCCTATCTATGCCCTGGATCCCACACTTGGGTCTCATCACCTGGCCATTGCACCGCCGGTCAGTCCTTTCCCGACTGCTGCCATCTGATTGGTTTGTTCTTAAAAATATAAGGAGTGAGCCAGCCTTTGTGTGACAATATTCTCATCATAGCACAGTGGTGACAAGGTTGACAAGATGTTACAATGAGTGCAGTGGTATAACGTTGCTTTGTAGCTCACAGTTTGTATACCATTCGATAGACGACCTTTGTTATGTACCAGCTAGCAATGCATAAGTCATAACCTCAGATTTTCAGGCACTATGCCACCTGCTGGTCCTGGGACAGCACTTATTAGCTGAATTTGCCTGTCTAAGATGAAACTGTGAGTGAAATGAATGCACAGCAGAGTTTCTGCACAGAGCCAGCCACCACCATTGCGCTCTGCAGTTTGCTTCTCTCATCATGACAGTGGATTCTTTTGGTGACTATTAGAATATTTTCACTCCAACATTTCCTGTGTGCAAGCTCAAGGAGAAGCCACAATTTATAAAAAAAAAAGAGGCAAGAAAAAACACAGGCAGTCCAGTAGGCCTCCTTGCCAGTTTTTTTACAAGCAGCCCATTAAAACTTACTTGGAAAACTTACTTGCATGTAAAATTTTCTTTCTTGTCCTTTGCCTGATCTTGGTCTTGACTGATCTTTCTTTCGGGGCCGGTAAGTGGCTCAGTGAGCCTGGCCTCGGGGCCCTTGATCAAGGCCCTTAAGACCCGCTGCTTGCAGCTCCGGGGACACTGCACATTGGCTGAACCTACACTGTGACCCCCAAGCTATGGGGAGCTAGACAGGGCAGGCGAAGAGAAGCATTCCAATGGACCTGTGCAAATGGCAAAAGAAGGATTTATCATTTTCTCACTAATGCTCTAAAAATTTGCAGAGAAACGCCACAACAAGGATGACAACATTTCTGACAGAGAATGAGGCGGCAAATGTGCGCTTTGTAATGAAATGCAGCAAGCAGAGCAGGCAGGAGAGAATGGTCACAGATAACAGACAGTTGCAGGCTGCTTTTCACTCTGTCTATTGCCCAACGATGCTCTTTCCTGCTTGAAGACCAACAGTGTTGTGATGGCTTTCTCGGTTCAGAATAGTGCCGACTCATTAACCGCTAGCCTGTGGATTTACCTTGTTTACCCAATTCAACTGCTCGTTATTGGGACATACGGTCCTGTGTGATGTGGAGAGGCGGGATGTTTGCTTCAGGTGGTGATAGGAAAGACAATGACAAGCAGACAGAAGAATTACCCGTCAAAACCTTGATCGCTACCAGGCATGTGCACCAGTCCAAGTTACTGAGGGCCACCGTCTGTCTTTTGTCTTTCGGGAGTTTGACTGGAAAAGCAAAAGCATGCTCTACATAACGTAGTGTCTGGGAAAATGTCAAAGTGAGAGTATTTAAAGACTTTATTTTTGAATGAAGGTATCACTCTATTTAAAGATGGATTTTTAATAAAAGATGAGCAAGTGAAAATGTTAATTTCAGTATTAATACTTAACATATTTAAAATATATGTCATGACTCAGACATTTGCTGTACATTATTACTATTTACAGTATATTATTAATAATGGATTCAAATGGTGAAGTGATTCAAGTTGATGCTCCGTGTGATACTATATTTAGAAATGATGCCAAAGGTGAAAATCACATCAAGCATCAAATGTGTATTTTTTCTCAGACACATTCCAGTGAAATATTTCTTAATGGTAGATTTTTTTTAAATATATACTGTTAACCAAAATGTTTTGTAACGTGTCTTCTTGCCAGAGCAGACATGTATAGCAGCACATGCACTTCCTCTTTCAGTTTTAAGTTTGCCTGTGGCGTCTCAAGTCTTAGCTACCTTTCAGAGCTGTCTTTTTTTTGGCTGTCATCACTGAACATTTATGGAAACCTCTCCCTGTGCAGTACAACTGTGTGTGACTGGTTGCTGAATTAGAAATTATGTTTCGTGGCTAATCTGTGGCGCCACATGCCTTGGTACCTTGGGATAATGTGCCATGGTACGTCGATCCCTGTGTTGACCCCGCCATGGTACGTCGATCCCTGTGTTGACCCCACCATGGTACGTCGATCCCTGTGTTGACCCCACCATGGTACGTCGATCCCTGTGTTGACCCCGCCATGGTACGTCGATCCCTGTGTTGACCCCGGTCACTATTTTCTCCTCAGATGCAGTACTACTCCCGCAATGCCTATTTTCCACATCCCTCCCCGGCCCAACGCAGCACAGACGAAGAGGACCCAGGTGGCAGAAGCCCCCCCTTCGAGGTGTCGGATGGAGAAGGGGACATCGGGGATCGCATGCCGTGTCCGCCTGGGGGGGAGGCGGGTGAGTGGCACCGGTGGGCCAGTTTGTTTGACTGCCTTATTTCGGCTACGTATCCCAAATTCACACAATCCCAAACATGACCTGCAGCAAAATATGACATGTAAAAACCAGCAAGGAGAAAGGCCTCACCTTTTAATGTCAGAGTGGAAATTTAAAATTAAAAAGTGGTATTTCAAAATGGTGGACAGGAAGTCAAAGAATAAAGTTTGCTGCAATAATGAAGAACATTTTCTATGTGAAATCCCCCTGTTTGTATGGTGTGTAGTGCTGGTTTGAATTTTAGCCTTACTAAATATCCTTTTTTAAGTGTCAGATAAAAACTAGCGAAAAGTAAGCAGCTAGTAACTGGGAATGTTTGTGACAACTATTACACATTAGGCTCTGAGAAAGTTACACCGTTTATTCACTTTCAGTTTCCCAGCAGTCACGCTGGTCCTGGGCGGTTCTCTGCAAGTATAAGCAAGTTATGCAGCCAAGACCTCAGAAACCAATTCTGAGCTGATTTTAAAAGAATTTAAAACTGCTTGTTTGCTGATTTTCCGTGCTGCTAAGTGTCTGTCAGCCGTAATGGATTGTGAGCAGGCAGTGGCCAGGGCTGACTGTACATAGCTATGATACAGCTGAGCTGTAAAACTGCCCTATCAATGTGCTCCCTGCTACTAACGAAAGCCACCCCTCCGATATTGATACTCTATAATACAGTAATACTCCAAATAAACTCCAAATAATGGCAAAACTCTCATAACAAATCCCCAATTAGTATAGAGTGTCACTTGCTGGAACTTTAATATGAACATATTATTAAAGGATTATTATTTTCTTTGTTAAATTATTACTTAAGCGTCAATAACGTGACCAAGCTCAACACAGTTCGATCAACAACAACTTCAAGCAACTGATAATGGTGTCCTTTTCACTTCACACAAATACGACATTATAAAAACATTATTTAGCCATTGAACTTCATGCCCAAAGTGGTTGTGTTGTTCTCTGCTGAGATTTAGGGGGCACTCCAGATGTGTGGCTAACAAGTGCATCTGTGTCTCACAGGCAACAAGAAGAAGATTCGCCTGTACCAGTTCCTGCTGGATTTGCTCCGCAATGGAGACATGAAGGAAAGCATCTGGTGGGTAGACAAGGATAAAGGCACTTTTCAGTTCTCTTCCAAGCACAAGGAGGCGCTGGCCAACCGCTGGGGTATTCAGAAGGGGAACCGCAAGAAAATGACGTATCAAAAGATGGCCCGAGCTCTTCGGAACTACGGCAAGACGGGAGAGGTCAAGAAGATCAAGAAGAAGCTTACATACCAGTTCAGTGGAGAGGTTCTGGGGAAAATGGCCATAGAAAAGAAAATATTCCCACACTTATAGGGCAAGGACTGAGATATACTGTTTTACTCTTCATGTGAGGTATGACTTTTATATACACAGATTGAAAAGCCACCAAAAACTTACTTTAGGTTCCAATACAGTCTTCATGGGGTTTTTCAAATGTCATTTCTGTGCAGGAATACAAAGCAAATAAGTACTAATATGTTTTATTTTACTTTATTTACTACAATTCATATGAAATAAGTGTGTTAAATAGATGTTTCAGCTTTGTTTTCGGTACTGATTTTGCATTAAGTAATAGTTTTCATGGTATCAGTATGCAATGCATGCAGTGTAAATACTTTAGACCTTATTGTGAAAATACAAAAGGGGAAGTGAATATACATGACACAATGTCACACAGCAGTCAGTGGAAATCAGCAGCTTCCCACAGCCTCAGTTCATTACCAGTAGTGCCCACGCAAAGTATAGCAGAGAAAACGACGCTGAACCCTGAGTGCTTTGGGCCTGGAGGCTTTGTGATGAACCTGTCTTCCTTTTAAATGCTCATCAGTTATTCCTGCCTTCTCAGTTCTGGCCAACAGACTGAAGCTAAAATGGACTGTTTTTTTTATTTAAAATGTGTATATAGTATGGTCTTTGAAAAACTTTAAATTGTGAGATATAGACAGATTCTCAATAAGTGCTTAGCACATTGGTGTGTAGCAACGATAATATACATTAAATCAGCTTAATACAGCTGATAAATACTGTACATGTGTCAGGTAAGGTATAAGGACACAAATCATTTCAGATCATTTGAGTAGCATAGCTTTTTATTTTGAGCTGAATCACAGTGTATTCTGTCTTTTAAATAAATTATTTATTATATAAAAATCACTTTGATTATGCTGATGATGTTAGAGGTTTTGATGGTAATAAAGTCATATGCAATTTTCATATCAAATATTTCTAAACAAAAGAATATTTTGTTATACATCCAGGAACTATTATATTAAGAATTATTATTTTAATTATTATCTAATTTACATATATACAGTACCAGTCAAAAGTCTGGACACACCTACCCATAGAAAGGTTTATTGGTACTGCTCTCTACATTTTACAATAACTATACAGACATCAATACTGTAAAATAACATATATGGAATTATGCACTGACCACAAAAATATTAAACAAAAAAATTATAATTCTTGGGTGGGGCAACTCTGTGGGTTGGGACTCAGAAGGTTGTCGGTTCAAATCCCGTGGTCAGCAGTGTGATCCCAGCACTGGGCCCTTGAGCGAGGCCCTTAACCCCAGTGGCCCCAGGGACTGGCTGACCCTACTGTCCCCTATATGCCAGTTTCATGAGGTGGCCTCCTGGGATGCTTTTTCAGCTGAGCACTCATTGGCCGCTTTTCCTTCACACTCTGGTCAAACCAAAACCATTTCTGCTCGGTGTAGTTCAGGTGGCTGGGTCATGTGATGCAACACTATCACTCTCCTTTGTAGGTGGCTGGGTGTGCCCAGGCCATTGGCTAGTACGGTATAGAACAAATTACAATACAAAACTTCTAAATTAAGTATGCCCAATTATGAAATTAACTGCATTCAATTTAAAAAAGAAATTGTTTTGCAGCACATATGCTTACACGGGGCACACAATAACAAACTACCACAAGAGGGCCTCAGTTGTATCCCAACTGCACAAAGAATAGTTAGAACATAACTTATTAAATGCAAAGTTTTCTCCCAAATTTAGCCTTGTGGTGGAAGGTCTGTAGCGAGTCATCAGAAATAAATGGCAAAGCTGAGTGTGGTTTTAGCAAGCATGTCACAAGATATCTGGGTGTCAAGGGTGTGAACAACAAGTTGCACCACAGTGTCACTCGTGTCACTCTTGAGTTTTACTTGTCACAAAGCCACAGGTGGGTGGGTTATGTGCTGAGATACTGCAAATTGTCACTTTAACAATTAAATTAAGGTAAGTTTTTAATTTCTCTTAGCACTAATAAGGAATTAAATCCATAAATTTCAGCAACGATTTTTCCATTTTGTCAAGCATTAAGGTTCTAATACAAGTGGAATTTCTACAGGACAATAAATTCATTTAACACATGCATTCTTCATCCTACATTTCAATATTTAGCAACATACATTCTATATGTTTAAATTTCAATTTAATATAGCTGTTTCTATAGTTACATGGTTATGCCTTAATAATCTGTGACCAATATAATCTGTAATGATAAATAATGATAATATTTCTTTAGATAAGCACAGAAAACATTCACTAAGGCTTTTTTGCATAAGTAGATGAAGCAAGTGACTAACAGAAAGTGACACAATGGGAACAGAGCTGATCATGTGACCAGGACCCTGCCAACTAAAACCTCAGACGAGCTTCAGATACATCATGCGACAAAACAGAACAGAGCAGGCTGTGACTCTTTCAAGCTGCACTAACTAAATAAACAGTAAGGACAATAAAGCAGGTCAGTCACTAAAGAAAGAACGAGTCATATTTACAGCTCATAGATGGCACTCTGACACTGGACAGTTTTTGGTGACTGGATCTGACTTTTCACAGTATTTCCTGCCCTTCCAGCACATTGCTAACATTACTGCTTGTCACACCATTGACCATCCCATCAATGTCAGCAATATATGTAGAACCCAAGCATTGACCAGAGTAAATAAAGGCTTACTGAATTTGTATAAGGTTTATACCTCTTTTTGGCTGCAACCAGGACCTCTGCCAAGTCCCAACAGTGAGTCTGTATGATCAAGAGAAACATAAATTTTCGAAAAGCACAGACTGACAACACTTGGGAAGTCATTTTTCATGCCGCTTGCCTAGATAACAGGTCACGTAGTTGAAATATTGGTAGGAACCCCTTTCAATGAGACCACAGAAGTGTTCCTGGTGGAAGTGTTTGGCTTAAGGGTGAGTGCTCACTAATATATATTCAACCAGCTCCGGGAAAAGATCCTGTCCTCTTTACCTATATTTTGACAGGCAGAGGGGAATGAATCAGGATGGTTGAGTAGCTCAGTCACTTTCTAAATTTGTCACCTGCATCCTGTCGTGCTGTCATGTGCGAAGGGTCCTCTGGAGGGTGGGGATGAGTTTGACGCTGGTTGTGTGCTGCAGGGTAGAAGCATGTCTGTAAATTCATTGCCTGGCTAGTAAATAGAGAGAGAGGGGGGGGGGGGTTGGGGGCGGGGGTTGTTGCAGCCTCAATCTGGGACAAGGCTTGGGGATGTATTAAAGGCACGGTACCGGGTACGACAAGGGATACTTAGGGAGCCTCGGTCAAGATGCCAGAGCCAAAAGCTGAAAACACAGGTGGGAATTTGTGTTGTGTTGAGTCTAAGACCGCCAGCCATATTGGAGGGCATGCGGGACCTCTGCCTTCCTCAGTTTAATAGCATGTCTAAACCAGGCATGGACAGTATGCAAGGTGTTTTCTTATCAGCTTTTGCTGATGCATGTGTGGAAGGAGATTAACAAAGTCTTTGCAAAGTCTCAGTGAATAAAATGTGATGATGTGTTGAATTAAATGGCCAAGTTAGAAATAGTCCAGATGGTCATATCTCAGACTTTCTGAACTACACTTCATTGAAGATCTTCTCCACTTTCCTGACTTCAGAGTACAGTAGTATGTAAGTTTTCTGAACAGGGTTTGGTTTCAGACATAGCTGTTAAGTCCAGTGTTAATGGTATGCTGCAAAACTAAAGACATTAGTATAGTGTAATAGATAAGACTTAGCTACAGAGATCTGGGGGCTATTTATGAAAGCTGAACAGGTTTCATAATGAACTGGTGGTTATGACTGGCCCCGGAAACGTGTGTGCACGTGCGTCATAAAATGTGCGTATGCAACATCAGACGTGTACGATTCATATACATTTACATTATCCCTGTATGCATGTCAGCTTTGCCTAGTGAATGTCACCAGCTTTAAACTGCAAGATGCTTTGCATTTTCTACCTCCTAAAAAGTTTGCCTGGCTGTTTCAAGTGTAGGTATGGCACTCCGGACATGTACTTTTCAGGGAGCGCTTAGTTATTTTAGCTAAGGAAGACTGTCCCAAAAAAAAACACACTCGACATGTAATGCAACTTTAGTTAGACCACTCCAGAATTATTACTAAACCCTGCGGTGGATAATGGTCATAGTAGAAATGCAAAAACCAGGTCTGTCCTTTGCTTGAAAGTACAGTGTTTCAAAGGCATTTTTATTTGTTTATTCTGAGTGAGCATATAATAATCTTATTATTTATGCCATATATAATCATGACTGTTAAGTCTGAGTCAAGTGATGTGGGGGTCACTCTGCATCCTGTCGTGCTGTCATGTGCGAAGGGTCCTCTGGAGGGTGGGGATGAGTTTGACGCTAGTTGTGTGCTGCAGGGGGTCACTCTGATATGAATGATACTATTCAAATATTTTAATTATATCTTAATCTTAATAAATAAACATTTTTTATATATAACTGACTATTTGTAATCATTCCCTAGAATCTGGAAGGCATTCTTCCTTTGTTTACAGTAATATTTTCTAACCATGACTTTAAAATTATTATTAAAATAAATCTCTGACTGGAGTTTAATGCAGCAGGCTTTGAGCTGGACTTAAAAACACAGCGGGACACAAGAGTAGGGCACAGGTTGTTTGAATCTCTATCCCCATATCAGATGCCTGCTGGATTAAATAAGAACTTGAATCCTGAAGTGACAAGTGACCCTGTTTAAAAGCTATGGGATGAACATGCCACCACACCTCTGTGCCACTCTAATGTTCTGTCAGGTTGCCACCTCTATGCCAACCTATCACATCCACATATCAGAGTTTAGTCTTCATTACAACATGAAACTGTCCTAATTCCCTGGAACAGTCCTTCGTTTATAAATAGCCTATTGAAAAATTTAATGGGAACTGCGGCGCATCTTGAACTAATTATAAAATGTACAACACAGCGTGCGTGTACATCTCCCAAAAGATATGTGAGATTATGTTTAGAACAGATTAGAGACACCTAGAGCAGTGCTGCCCAATCTGGTCCTCAGGGAGCCCCAGACTCTCCACGTTTTCAGCTCCCTCCCAGCTCCCGATATGGACTGTCTGGCGGGGTCCCCAAGCACCGGCTTGAGGAAAACTGACCTAGACGAAGCTGTAGTAGGTGCTGGTGGAGGCTCTACCCAGAAATATCATTCTTTCAATTCCTACCGTATAACTGAAATAGAGGCCTGCTAATCCCCTCCATTACCTGACCGTACTAAATGCGCACACAGCAGGTGTTTATTGTGGCTTTGAACATGTGCTATACTTAGACATAAAAAGGCACATAGTGTCAACTTGCACCCAAGGTATTTACACTACGTCATATACAACAAACAAGGAGGGGACAATGTAAAAAATACATATGCTGTATAAGAAAACACTCTCACACATGTAGCTATATTTATAGGCGAATGCATTTGTTCATTCAATTTGTCTCTTTTACGGCTGTCCTTTGCAGAGACCTCTGAGGACAAAGCAAGCTGCCCAACAAACACAGCAGGAGACGCCCGGCATGACGGCACAGAAGCCGATGGTCAGGTTCCACATAGCAGACACTCTATGGCTTCAGTTATAGATCTTGCTGTTTTAGCTGGTCACTGGATATTTACAGAAGCACTGTCCAGGTTAAATGCTTCGATTAATGAGAGCACCTGGCTTTTTCTTATTTGCACCTGAAACAAGTTTTCAGAAGTGATGCACAATGCTGTAAGCATGTACTGTAGTGTCATTTAAGGTAAAATCAGTATGTGTTCAACACCAGTAGCCACCTTGAGGCTGCTTATGGTATTACAGCATACAATTCAATATGACCAACACACACACATCCATCCATCCATCCATCCATCCATCTATTTTGTGAAACCGCTTGTCCTATTCAGGGTTGCGGGGGTCTGGAGCTTATCCTAGAGGCTACGGGTACAAAGTTGGGTACAACCCAGGCTGGGGCGCCAACCCATCACAGGGCACACTTACACCAGTCACTCACACATGCACACCTACGGGCAATTTGGTAACTCCAATTAACCTCGGCATGTTGTGGGGAGAAACCGGATAAAATGATGATATTATTTATATTGAAACATGATTCACCACATAATTCAAAGTGGTTTAAGAATCGGTAAAGTATATGTAAATGTGTGCGCTGCATTATTACATATTCAGAGCATTCAGGTGACTTCATGCATCCTTTACAGGCTTGCCAGAAAGTCATCATCCGGATACAAGGCAGGACCTGACTGGACTTTTCATAGAGAAGCCCGTGAGTGGAGAGGTCACCGTGGGTGAGTGATGAGTTCCTAACCCAGTGGGCACACATTCTTTAGCCCTCAGATCTACTGACACATTACGTACCTGTATGATAATGATTATCAAAATTTGGAAAGATTATAGGTTAATTTAGTTTAAGTAATTCATTAGTATTTCAAAAATTTTGAAAATAAACTGTATTTTTTGTGATCTGGAATTGCAACATGCTAAATCAGGGGTGGGCAATCTTATCCGCAAAGGGCCGGTGTGTATGCAGGTTGTGGGGATAACCTGTAGGTCAGCTGTTCACACCCAGGTGTGAGGACTCTTCAGCCAATCAGTCCTTTAATCAGTAATCTAATTAGGGAGTTGCAGCGAAAACCCACATACACACCGACCCTTTGCGGATAAGATTACCCACCCCTGTGCTAAATGATACTACAGCTGATAATGTCTGCATCAATGGTTAAAAAAAAAAACTCATGCCAACAGTTTCATGATATTTTTAAATGTAAAATTCTGATTAACATTGAAGTAAAGTGGCTGAGAATACTATGCTTTGGAACGCATACAGTGCTGCAGTTTTGATAGCCATAGAGAGATGACGGAAAATTTACCAATACACAGATAGATAGACCTTCCTTAGCATGGTCTGTGATGCTCTTCTAACTTACGAGTCCAAACCTGCTTAAGTTGTTTCCCCAATGGCATTAAGTTTAGAACATCAAAACCTCTACAGAATATTTTTTTTCTCACATCTTATGATGGGCAGGAGAGAACATCACCTTCATATCCAAGGTGAGCACCATCAACCTGCTGAAAAAGCCCACTGTCCGCTGGTTCAAGGGAAAGTGGATGGACCTGGCCGGCAAAGCTGGGAAGCACCTACAGCTGAAGGAGACGTACGATCGCAACACCAAGGTCTGTGCTAGGGTTAGGGTTAGGGTTAGGCTAAGGGTTAGGTTTATGATTGAGGTTAGGGTTAGGCTAAGGGTTAGGGTTAGTGTTGGTAATTGGTGGTAATAGTGGCTGCATGCAAAATCGGGGTCAAAGCATTTGAGCAAGTATAATTCAATGCAATGTTAAAATGTTAAACCGATAATACTTAAGCATATCACTCGAAGTTTCATAAGAAGATTAATTTGTGCATTGCAGGTGTACACCTTCGAAATGCAAATCATTGGAGCCAAGCCCAACTATGCTGGAGCATATCGATGTGAAGTGTCCTCCAGGGACAAGTTTGACAGCTGCAATTTTGACCTTGTTGTGCATGGTGAGCATCTTCTTAAATGGCTATGATATGGTGGCTATAAATATTCAAGTCTGTGTGGAATTTCTTTATAATTCATTATGCACAATTAATATTTAGCATCAGTTTTCAATGACAAATCCTCTGCAACGAGACCAGAAACACATTTTAGTTTACATTGTAGCATTAATATCGCATAAAACACAGCAGGATTTATTTTAAACTAATGGTTTTCAACATGAATCCACAGAGGCAAGAGCAACTGAAGAGTTTGACATCCGTGCAGCCTTTAGACGCACGTAAGTAATACTCTAGATTTCCTTGACACGTACTGGCTTACCTAGGCAGAACAAACAAGGATGAGGAGATGGAGAAAGGACTAGGATGTTGAAATAGGTACAGAGGCCACATTCATTTGGCAAGAAGAGAATTGGGCACCACAACTACTAACATTCTGGAAATGCTAATTTACCAGGAGCACAGCTTCAGGACAAAAGAAGAGTGGAACTGCAGGAAGGTAGTGAAGCGTTTGCAGCAACAGCGGGGCCATATTCAGAATGAGGAGGCTCAGTAAACACATTCAGAATGAGAACTAAGCAGTGCTTCGAGTATTCTCCCATCTGATGCACCTTCGGCAGGGTGAAAATGGCCCCCGCCTCCAAAGGTTTTGAAAACACAACTGCCACAATGGAGCTGGATAGAAAAAATAGATGTTTTGCAAATGGGCACAACTGCCAGAACTTCGCAATTCAGTTGAAAGTGAGTGACTGCAAGCAAAACACTGAGCTATAACAGTAGCATTAAGCATTATTTGTTAGTCTGATGTTTTGCTACACTTTTTAAGGACAACTGCAGAAAACAAATGATTGTAGGCAGACATTTCCACCTTAAGGACACGTGGCCTCTACGCTGGATGTTGTGTTTGATCAAAGCTAAGGAGCCTGTTGTGCAAAAAATACATCACCTGGAGGAGTGGAGTTTGGTTCCTGGGCTGCAGTGAATTGTTCCACGTGCCCTGGCATGCAAGCTTGGCGTGATATAGACCTGTCTACCATGGTGAGAATGATCTCCCATAAGCTGTCACAAGACATGATCTACAAGCTTCCAAAAAGACAGCAGGCCCTTGCGTTAGTCACAGCAAACATGGCAGAGTTTGGTTTAGGACTAAAGTAAGCTTCCTTGCATTACTTTTACAAAGTACTCTGTCTTGTGAAGCCCCGTGAAATTTAGTATGCTGTAAGCTTTAATCTTTCATAGATGATTTCTGAAGATCTGAAATGTACATTATGTGAGGCAATGTACATCGAGGTGTGTGTGTGTGTGTGTAACAACATTTGGAGTGTTACTTGTCACATTTTACACTTTACTGTGCGTTTACTGGGGATTGAAACGAGTGCTCAAATTGACAGTTGCTTTATAAACTTGTCAGAATATTAATATATTTCTGGACATTTACTACATGTGTGAATGATAGATATTTGGACAGTAGGATGTGAGATGGAGTACTGGATGGTAGGATCTTTTCCATGTTGCTTGAGACAGACTGCTGGAAGCTAATAACATGATTGCCTTGAGTGAGGTAATCTTTTGGACAGTGATATCCTCAGTGCCCCATGTGAGACACTGTGATCTTGACTAGCCTGTATGAGATAGTATGTTGGACATGGGGATCTTCAGTGTCCCATATAAGACAGCCTGTGGAACACTATGATCCTGACTGTCCTGTGTGAGATTATACGTTGGACAGGGGGATCTTCAATGTAAATGTGAGACAGTCTGTTGGACACTATGATCCTGACTGCCCTGTGTGAGATTATACGTTAGACAGGGGGATCTTCAGTGTCCCATGTGAGACGGTCTGTTGGACACTATGATCCTGACTGTCCTGTGTGAGATTATACGTTGGACAGTATAATCTTGATTATCCTGCGTGAGAATCATGATGTGAACTTGAACAGGGGACAGTTAACCTTTACTTTCAATCCACTCCTTGCTCTCTGTGCTTTACTGCTCTTTTCTGGGGGAGGGGGGAGGGGCTGACATCATGTTGGTTCTGTTGTCTCCCTGCAGTAGCATAGATGGAGGTGAAGAAGCTGGGGAGCTGGACTTCAGTGCTTTGCTAAAGAAGAGGTGAGGTTACCACAAACACAACCAAAGAATGAACTGATCTTCCAACCACTTACCTAGTCCAGGGTTGTGGGTGGGCCATCAACAGCCGTTAGATATTCAGATGATTATGGAGAGGGCTGTCAACAAAGAAACTATGAGCTGGTATGACATGGATTATCAAGTGCTGAACTTCATTTAGATACATCCTCACTTGGGATCTAGCCCCATTAGTGTTTACTACTAATAGCGAGCTGGTTCTTATTTTTAGAAGAGATTAGTTGCTGATTAGGGCTGTATCAAGGAGAGCGGAGTTTGGTGAGAATAAAGACACTTATTAATATGGAAGCATTTTCACATTCTGAAGGGGAAGATAATCTTGTTTAGGATGTTTCTGCCTTCACAAAGTTTCCCTGTTCAATCTGCTGTTTCTAGTCATAATGTGCAGATAGTTAGTCCGAATTTCCCAGGTCTGTCACCAAGGCCACCTCACCTCGTGTGTCGAATACCACACATCATAGCATTTTAATGATAAAGGAGAAAAAATGTAGAAAGTCCTAAAACCAACAAGTCCAGGCATGACTTTAATATCTACCACCAGACTCCTGGATGACACTAAACAACAAGGGCGTTCTTGGGTTTACCTCCTATGCAGTATTTCAGTAGGAAAAACTGCACCACAGATTGTGAGTTTTTAGAGTTTAAACTCTGCAGTAAAATGTCCAACTAATATGCTCCTGTGTTTTCTGTGATACTGGACCTCCTGAATGTTGGACCTCACCTGGCAGGGAGTAAGTTTCCATTGGGTGGACCCACGCAGATTAAAATGCATGGAGAGACTTGGTTCTGTTTAACCCCTTAACTGGCAAAACCTGCACAGATCAGCCTGCAGTCGCATGTAGCCTGCAGTGACATCAGCCTGTAGCCGCATGTAGCCTGCAGTGACATCAGCCTGTAGCCGCATGTAACCTGTATTGACATCAGCCTGCAGTCACATGTAGAGCCAGCTCTCAGCTGATCTCACTCTATTTCTCTCTGAGAAAAGCATGTCTATATTTATATCGAGTGTACCTGCTGTGGCAGCCACTGCACTGGATTCTACTGCTCCAGCAAGCTTGAGCTGCAATCAATAACGGAATTAATCTTTTTTCCACTACTTGTGCTTTTTCTTTTGGTTGTTTTGTACGATTTATCATTTGAAGTGATGATTTAGCCTGAAAATGTGTTGGTGAAGGTACTGGTTCTGTTTTCCCATCTGATGGAGGATTTTCAGAATATGAATTGACTGTTGTGCACTTGTCCTGCTCTGGACATTAGTCATTATGAGGGTAACAGCTTTTGGGCGGCACACACCCTTCCGTCTGTCATTGTGCTAAATTATGTCAAAGAGGCAGCTGTTATTCTTTGTTATTCTGATTGTTTCTTAGTTACTGTGCTGTATTAGTGAAGTTGTAAAGTTGTTAAGTTGTGTAAGTCGTTTTACAGAACTATTACACTGGCTCTGGCAGGGCTAGAGTGCTGTGTGATCATGTGAGACAGGGGCTGTGTCCGAATTCAGGAGCTGCAGTCTTGAAATGCATCCTTCTTTTGCCAAGTTGCAAAGAATCCATCTGATGGATGGATCCGATGGATCCTTCGCATCCCACCCAGGCGACAGGAGCGGCACTTTGTCGATCATTTTGTCGAGGGTTAGGGTGGGAACAGCTGGTGACGACCACAACATCCTATTTGACGCTTTCTGCTCCTTCTTCGAAGAACACAGCCTACAAAGGCTATGCTTTCATAGACCACATCCTTCAAAAGATGCAGCCCCTGAATTTGGACACAGCCAGCAAGATTATGGATGTGTGACAGAAGGTGATGGAGTAGTGCCCCAGGATCTGTGATCAGATGAGACAGGCAGACTAAGGATGAATGAGGTCACCCAGCCAGTCATCTATGCCTTTGCAGTATTGTCCAAGTCAGCACGGAACCTGATGTGGATGTATGGGAAATCCTCCAGAAGGCCAAGCCCAGTGAGTATGAGAAGATCGCCTTCCAGTATGGCATCATGGACCTGCGTGGCATGCTGAAGAGGCTGAAGAAGATGAAGAAGGAGGAAAAGAAGAGTGCTGGTGGGTGACGACCTGACCTGTCACACCATCAAATCACACTCATCTCAGTGAAAATCCATAAAACCAATTCAACATTCTACCAAAGCAGGAAATACATGATTGAAGACATGATGATGTGCAAATAAAGAAATTAAAGAGAAAAAAACACACACAGGCGGTTATGAAACCAAAAAATGGTGCTTATTTATATTTCTAATTAATTATTTCTAATAATATTTCCAAGATTTTACATTGACTTGAGCACCTATTAAAACATTATTTTCATTGCCACAACACCTACTGAAATAGAATATTAGCACAACATAAACGATCCAAAAAGAAGTAGTTTTATTGAGTACAGGAAGGTTTATTTTTCTCATACAATCCCAGCATTCCTGAAGAAGCTGGACCCAGCCTACCAGGTCCAGAAAGGTCAAAAAATTAAACTCTGCGTGGAAGTGGCCAATCCTGATGCAGAGGTGAAATGGCTGAAGAATGGACAGGAAATCCATCCGAGTGGCAGGTACGCCTGATCAACAGGGAACAGTACTCACACAGGCCCTGGTGACTTAAACTGCGAATATATTTTGCGGGTTTGATTTGGTTGAAACAGCATGTACCATAGAACGTGTTGAGTTTTATTTTAGTTAACCTCTATCTTTGATTCTGTTCTCTCTCCCCCCCCCCCACCCCGATCAATGTCACTGGGATCCTCCGAACATGATGGCTGTCATCTGTAGCAAGTAAGGTGTTCATCAATAGCGACTTTATTGTTACAGTACTAAGCTCCGGGTTATCATACTACAATACTGCTTCTGTTCTCCATCAGGTACATTTTTGAGAGCATTGGTAACAAGCGATACCTCACCATCAACAACTGCTCATTATCTGATGATGCTGCTTATACTTGCGTGATTGGAGATGAAAAGTGCTTCTCTGAACTCTTCGTCCAAGGTAATCAGCTAGGGAAAAACAAACAAACAATCTCTGTCCATCAATGCCTCATTTCTCATGTCAAAGGAAACTGGGTACCTGTAAACTGCCTGTGTATGTTTAAAAAGTGCACAGTGATCTTTCAGTGCTAAATATAAAGGGTTTAGGCGGATTACACACAGGTCTTGTGCTGGTTAAGACAAATCATTACCTTACCACAAGGGTCTGAAATGTTTGCTAAATCCCACTAAATCCCACTTACTCCCATTCAGAAATGTCCTAGGATTTACCATAATTCTAAAACACTTGCTGCGTAATTGTCTAAATCAGTTTTTATGACGAGGCCAGTGCAGAAGGTGGCTCGCAGGAATGCTGCAGCCATGCGGGGCTGTGCTCCACCGCGGCTCGTGCCAAGGACAGGAGAATGTGGGATAGCGGAGCTATGCAGCCCTGTGACCGAGACCCACTGCTTGGTTTCAGAGCCCCCCGTGCTCATACTGCGCAGTCTCGAGGACCAGATGGCCATGACAGGGCAGCGTGTGGAGTTTGGGTGTGAGGTGTCCGACGAGGGTGCCCAAGTCAAATGGTAAGACGCCAACCAGTGCCAGCCTCAGTCAAGCAGCCCTCACTGCTCTTAACACCATTCCCAGTTAACACATGTGATCCACCCATGGACATAAACTCTTCACATAAAATAGGCAAAATAAAAACATCATTCGTTATGGTACACCCAAATAAAGAAAAATTGACTATGCTTTATCGGTATTTTGTGTATTTAAATAGAATATCTGAATTTTTATTTATTTTTAACGAAATTTAGTGAAATATATATTTTTTCCTTTAAAACTATCCGATTCCTTCAGGATATCTGGATAAGGATACATGTCATTGATATGTATTTTCGGCTGCATTCCGTTAAAAAAACATGACTAAGTATTTTATTAGCTGAGTTGCAGAATGGCTCCTACTTCAGAATCACAGCCAAGTAAAAGTGCCTCTGGAGTTTGTGCTCATGGCCCAAAGGAGGACCAAAATCACCCCAACCGTGTGGAAAAAAACAGCTTCCCTGGAACATTTAACTACATGGGAATTAGATCCTTTCTGGTGGCATTCCTACTGTGTGCTGCACATTCCTTAAGTGTCCTGTAGGTGGCGTTTGCACCTTGTTCCACAGGAACACCTGCATGACTCACGACAAGAAGCCGTTACTGCCTCACGCGAGTACAACCGCTGCTTTTGTCCGTCAGGCCGATATTTTTGTCTTCCCAAAATAAATGTCAGAGGAGAAGGTTAAATACTAGATGGCCGCTGGAAATCCCCCTTTCACCTTAATGTAGGACACGTTGCAATTTATAATAGGCTTGATATAATAAATTGTCCAATGACTTACCTACTGCTATTGGAAACATGCACTATATATAAACTTCGTCATATGAAATGTAATATAATACCATAAATTGTTATATTTTGTCATTTTTATTAGAAGTGCACCGATACCTGAACAGGTTATCGGCTGATAGGAGTACCGACCTGATACCAGAACTCTTGTTAAATTAGTAAATACAAATGAGAAAATTGTATGCCAAAAAAGCTTTGCTAATTAGGCTACTAGAAAAATACATAACGTACCGTTCCACCTCATTTGAACATCATGTTTTAGGCGTTTTAGGCATTTCCGGTTCAGTATGAATCCAAGAGATTATACGCAAGTGGCGAATGCTTTAAATGCCCCATAATTTTTCTCCGACTAGCAACAGCGTCACTTACACTTCGGTGCGATAGCAACCGCTCGTGTATCCCAAGCTATAGCAAGAGTGCAAAACAGCCCAAGTTAGTGACTCCCAAATTATACATTGCTTTTTTCATACTACTCGCGTTGTCTCGCACAATTGCGTGTGTTTTATTTTATGGGATTTTCCACTAAAAAGCTGTTTCCACCTCTCAAAATTTTGTTTTTACAAAGACTGCAAACCACAATGCAACTAGTTGTTAAAAACATAACATACTTCCAGACCGCCACCCTCTTATACAATGTTCTTAGGCTCCTCCTACTACAAAGTGTATGCGCATGACGTCATAGCAGGCAGAAGTCACTGCGCTCGCACCCACTGAGTGGCAAAAAGACTGAGTTGCAGCGTTACCGCGCAAAGCTTGAATACCACAAGAACACATCAAAATGAAAAAGCTGTTGTCTGATTGATTGTACTAATTGATTTAACAAGAAATGGGAGCTATCTTATTACAGACTGTCGAAAACGAAATAAGTAAGTATCGGACGTGGGTCCGTCACATATGAACGATACCCGATCCGTCTATAATAAGTATAGATAAGTGCCGCTACTGGTCGCGAATATCGGATCGGTGCATCTCTAATTTTTATTTATTATATTTATTATTTATTACCAGCTCTCACGCATCTGGCATGATTTTTGACTCTAACGCTCATGGAAGAAATCTTAAGGCAAATTCATATTATTCCACTATAAAACCCTAAATTACCTGCATAATAAGCATTGGGGCAGTTTGCAAACCCTACAGAATATTTACAAGATGATTAAACTGGTACATAAATGTAAATATGTGTGCAGACTTGCCTCGAATTGAAAATCTTATGCCAACCAGCTGACCAAAATTGAGAACCCTGCAAATTATTGTACATTTTTAAATGAAAATGTTGGTAAGATGTACATCTGAACCTCATGCTTTAACCGCTTAATATGTTTTTTTTAGCGAGTGACAAAAAATGTTCATGGATTAGTAAAACAAAACTGTAAAATAAAGCATGCTAAGAGCAGCTTCGAAGCACATACAATGTGAAAGGTTTTCCAAGGCTTGCGTCCTGGAACCAGAGGTGTTGTTAAAGATTTTGGACCCCATAAAAGCATATCATATTGGGCCCCCCAGTCCCAATCCAGTTATTTTCCAATTTTTTAGGGCCCCTGTCAATCTTGGGCCCTTGGAATTGTCCTAGCACCCCCCCCCCACCCCCTCCCTTACGGCGCCACTTTCTGGAACTCACGCTTCAACTGGCTGAACGCAGGGAAAAGGACGGCGTTGAGCTAACCAGGGACGAGTCCTTCAAGTACCGTTTCAAGAAGGACGGCAGGAAGCACTTCCTGATCATTAATGAGGTCGGCAAAGAGGAAGGCGGTCACTACACTGTGAAGACGAGTGGTGGGGAGTCCATGGCTGAGCTCATGGTGCAGGGTGGGTATCAGCTGCATGTTCGCACCATGCCTTGCTAAATGCCATGCCTTCCTTTAAATCAGAGCTAGATAAGATTTTAACAACTCTGAGCTATTAGTTAAGTTCTCCCCAAATGAGCTTGATGGGCCGAATGGCCTCCTCTCGTTTGTAAATTTCTTATGTTCTTATGCCTTATATACGCCGAAAAGGTGTCAGTCACACGTATGATGCACACACATTATTGATAACTGATAACATTAAATACTACATATACTGTAACTTTATCGTACACAATAACCACACAATACATGATATATACACACAGCCGTTACACTATTTACAACTGTCATTTGTCCAGCATGCTGCTAGTTACCCCAAGCACTACAATTTGATGACTTTATTAATTCCCAGGGAAATTATTATGCCAAGGCGTAGATTAACACAACAGAGCTTGTCAATACAAACATAAATGATACAATACAACACAAATAAATGATATAACACCACATAAGAGAACAAGTATGAAGATATAAAGTTGAGGTATGTGAGAAGTTAAAGTGATTGGGTGCACATGGAAACAGTTGTATACAGCAGTGTTTCCCAACCCAGTCCTCGGGGAACACCGGACAGTCCACGTTTTTGCTTCCTCTCAACTCCCAGCGCACCTGTACCAGGTATTCGGTGTTCCTGATTGGCTGGGGGCTGGGGGCTGGGAGGGAGCAAAAATGTGAACTGTCTGGGGTTCCCTGAGGACTGGGTTTGGAAACACTGGTATATAGGATATCGAATAACTCTGCAAAATAAGGATACTATATATATATATATATTGTGATGTCGATTCAAACAAAAGTTGCCATGTGAGGTTGATGTAAAAGATTCCCGACACACAATCCAGATAAGCACGCACGGAGAGTAAATGAAATTAATAAGTGGTTTATTCCATTAACAATCTGGTTGACTTTCAGGTTGTGAACAAAGGAAACAAAATAAAGCAGCAAAATAAATATATAAAGCGTGATACTTCCTTTTCGTTTGTGGTCAAGAAATTATTCCGCTTCACCATCTAACCTCCCCAGTGCTCAGTGTATGGACCAATTAAAACCCTGCATTCGCGCCATAGGTGCATCAGGAGGTGTGTTTACATATCACGTTACCGAAGTAAAAGGTCACATGACTTGTTTACCAAAAAACGCAAGTAAGGCTCCTACATATATATAGTTTTGGGAAAAATTCATTGTAGAGTCTTAATGTACTTATGTAAGTTGCTCTGGCTAAGGGCGTCTGCCAAATGCTGTAAATGTACAGTAAATATATATATATGTGTGTAGATGGATGAAGTAGATTGTAGACTAATCAGCTAAAAATACATAATCTGAGCATGTTGGTGCAAAAAGTAATTATAACAACTATATATATATGTGTGTGTGTGTGTGTGTATATATATATATGTGTGTGTGTGTGTGTGTATGATTACCTTTCAATAAAATAAATTAGAAAAATCTATCAAAGAGATAAGAAAACTTGCATGTTTAATATTTGTTTGTCCTAAAAATCTGCACTAACCACAATATGCTTTTTCCTTCAATGGGATTGTTACATCTGAAAACTCACCTCTCTCCCCTATGAAATCTGATCGCTGACGATGTCGATTATGTTATGGTTGCTTTGCAGAATCCATTCAAATTCCAGCGATTATAGGATGGCAGGGTTTTTTGGGGAGATACTAGATGTGGGTTTCATAGTTGCCACCTTTCTATGTTTATGCTAAGGTGTAAAATGTTAGAATAAAATCAGAGAAAGAAAAGCCACAGAGCTAATATGACTGAAAGGATTAGATCACACATTCAGGTTTCAAAATGCATGAACTGTTACTACAACACCCATCCATACCTTTGGTCTTTGGCTCCTGATCAGTAGGTAAAGTGCCAAGAACAATCGGCTGCGCCTCTTTGGCCTGCAAAATGGATTCCTGGGGTTGTTATTCAGTCCACACACATTGCCTGCTGTCCCAGTGACATTGGGCTTTTAAAAATAACATTTCTCTAGTACTACTAAATACTAAACTATTTATTAACTGGGTATTTAAATGATGCAGTACTTATTTCGCTGTGTTCTTGTCATACAGTACTGTAAATTATATCACTGTATGTCACATGTTTCTAGAGACACATAATCGAGGATTTAAATCCCGCCATCCTATTTAAATTGCTGTTAACCAGAGTCAGGGTATGAGAAAGATTTCAAAATCTGTACAATGTAGATTATATTGGAGCAGGGGCGTTGCTAGAGATTTTGGGCCCCATGAAAGCATATCATATTAGGCCCCCCAGGCCAAACCAATCCAGTTATTTTCCTAATTTTTTAGGGCCCCTGTCACTCAGGGGCCCTTGGAATCATCCTAGCTTTCCTCCCCCTTACGGCGCCCCTGTATTGGAGTATATTTTATAAATGTTTATAATCAGATGTTTGTCTCATTTTCATCCACATTAACCATTTTTTGCATTGCTACATGTTACTTAGATTATAACAAACAGGGCGGTGCAGAGACTTTTCATGGGGGAGGTGCTGACAGGCTACCTTTAAAGCTCAAGCACAAGTTCACATGAAATAGTTTGGGCAAAATGAACAGGTGTTCAGCCCCCCCCCCCCCAAAGCATGTGTCTGGTAACAGCCCTCCTCCAGTGCCTGTCTATAGATCTCAGCCTATAAATCAGTAGGCGTAATTCCCAGCCTAAAAACTCAACAGTTATAGTACTGGGAGATAACGCTCAGACAACTTAGACAAACAAATAATTAGTTACATTAGGGGCTTAAAACTTCATACATTAGGAACTTACTTTCTTGGCTCAGTAATATACGAGAACAGAATACTCCTAGTATAGATAATATCTTAGGTAAAATTTGAATAATCAGTCACATCACCTGACAAGATTGCTGTGAATTGAATATGAAAGATACTGTAAAACTGGTGAAAGCCCTCAGAGTTATATAATTTGGAAGCTATAGCATTTGATTTATGGTCTGTGTCCTGCACTTAACAGAGAAGGAGTTGGAGATATACCAGAGTATCGCTGACCTGACGGTGAAGGCCAAAGAGCAGGCAGTGTTCAAGTGTGAGGTCTCAGATGAGAATGTGAAGGGCATCTGGTATAAGAATGGCGTGGAGGTGAAGACAGACTCGCGGATAAAAATCACACACATCGGCAGGTTGGTGGTGCGGTGTTTGGATGGTGTGTACAGTTAATGCTGACTTTTGGGGTTTCAAAGTGCATGGCCTTTTCACTACAAACTGCCAGATGAATATGGATTATGAACAACTTTGCCCTATCATGACACGCATTACTTGCAATGCAGAACAATCAACCATCTATCCAGAAGGTGGGTGCAGAAAGGTTCAGGTTAACTTCAAACACTTTCCTTGGTGTGTCTGTGGAAATGGATTTGAACCATGTGTGATAGAAGAACTCATCTTATTACAGGATCCACAAACTGACCATTGATGACGTGAAGCCAGAAGACGAAGGAGACTACACCTTCATCCCTGAGGGATATGCGTTCAACCTGTCTGCCAAGCTCAACTTTCTTGGTACAGTAACTTTTTCATCTTTCGACAATTATAAAACTCAATTGAGCTCAAACATAATTAGATTTGACTGAAATATGACCCGTAAGACACCATTTAGCTGCATAGTGTTTTTGGTGAGCCACTTGCAGGCTGAGTGGGAAGTTTCTTACACAAATTTTTCTTCTAATTTGTTATACAGACGTCAAGATTGACTTTGTTCCTCGGCAAAGTAAGTCATTTCCTAGTATCCATTATGATAAACGATATTTGACATCACCAGGAATATTTCTGTATTGAAATGTTCTGATTGTTATATTGAACACAATTAATGGGCAGTTTGGGCTAACTTAGGCATGGTGGTTTGTTGGAATGACACTCTTGCCTCCCACCTCCATATCTGAGTGTTTAGTTCTGCTCTGTGTGTGGAACCTGCACGTTTTTCTTTGTTGTGTTGGTTTCTACTGCAATTTCCTTACACAGTCCAATGACCTTTGCTCCTAGCACCCTGACTAGGATATGTAGCTAAAATTTGATCAAGTGAATAATAATCTTCAGATTTTTTTTGCCTTGAAAGATCCACCAAAAATCCATCTGGACTGTATTGGTCAGTCTGCTGAGTCCACCATCATAGTGGTGGCAGGAAATAAACTGCGACTGGATGTGCCCATCACCGGAGAGCCGGCCCCCACTGTGATCTGGACCAAGTCTGACAAGGTAGAGCAAGGCTTCTTTTCTTACTTCCTGATTCAGCATAGCTGGCTCTCATGTATAGCCCTACAGTGAGAAGCAATGAGCTGCTTCAGTCAGAGGATCACACACAGACCGTCCAGTAAGTAAATCCTCACAGCTGTACCGCCTAAGGAACTGAACGAACAACCAGACCACTTCCTTACCAACAGGGGGGTGTACAGGGATGGGACCAGAGGGGCACTAGCCTCAGATGAAAGCTGATTGGTTCCCAGAGTGCCCCCTCCCTTGTCACTCACTGATTCAAACCATATAATTGCCTAATGATGAGGTAGACCCCTCTGTATGAATTGCTCCTCTTATGCCCCCCAAAACCCTAGAACTGCCCCAGCTTTCCAGTTCTGCCAAGTTCCAGCTAAGCATCAGAATCACTGATAATATCTCTAAAATGAGACATTGAGATAGTATCACAATAATGGTAAATACTCTAAGGAACAGTCTACCAGTTGTAACGTAAATGTGTCGTTTGCCATGGGTGCCGATGTCGTATGCGACGAGTCACCATTGGAGGTCCTGATCCATCTATCACCACCACCATCAACCATGATTCCATCAATCATGAACAGCATGACTTTGAATATAATGTAGGAACATAAACAATTTTAAACCATGATGGTTTTTTAAAAAAACATTTGACATATGGTCACTTGATTGTTAGATGTAATTATTAACGTGAGATGTAATTATTGGTGTAATAATTACTGGCTGGATGGTGACGCAGTGGGAGTTTGCACTTTCTCCATGTGTCTGCATGGACTTCCTTCTACGTCTCCAGTTTCCACACACAGTCCAAGGAATTGTTGTCTCTAAATTGCATATTGTGTGCGAGTGTGTCTGTGATCCTGTACTGGGTAAGTGTTTGTGGAAAATGGAGGTATAGCAATTACTGAATGGGTTTGCATGCTTTTTTGCATCCACCACTGGTTTCATGCCAAATGGCAAGGCATTAACCTGTAACTGACCAGTGCCAAAAGCCGGTGCCCTTAGAGGCTTGCTTTTAATTCAGCATGATTCCTTCGGAGGTCTTTAAAAATACAAACCGATCAGGAGGGAATCCCGTGAGTCTTTTTGCATGTCATGGTGCCATCCGGAGATAATACCGCTCACAAGACACCTAAGGTGAGAAGATCAAAGCTTCGCATTATCATCCAAACAGGTAAGAGTCTGAGGATCTCCTACAGCTGATCATCACTGACTGACAGCTTGCGCTCTTCAGACCTACCTGTAAATAAAACATGCTGCCTGATTGGCAAATAAGACCCAACAATGAAACTAATTTCTAATTAAGATGTAAATTGCATTTCTCACAAGTGCAATTTGATATGAAGGCCTCTAGAAGATGCCATGATGTCACTTGGCATCTTCTAGAAATAGTTTCCAGCTTGGGGGCTGCTTGTAGCTCAGTGGGCTAAGCCTCTGAGCCTGTGGTCAGAAGGTGACTGGTTCAAGCCCCGCCTTGGCACATTTGCAGGTTCTTCAGCGAGGCCCTTAACTCTCAGTTTCTTCAGTACTGCTATGGGTGGCTGCACTTGGAGCCCAGCATGCTGTTACCTACAGAGAGCAAGTTGGGGGAGATATAAAGGGAATTTTCTCACAGGGATCAGTAAAGTAGCAATCACTAATAATTAATGAAGTGGTAAATAATCAAAACAGATGGTTTTAAGATTAACTTATTGACCTTTATAGCATTTACCTAGAAAAAACAATTTTGCTCAAGCTGATAAAAATCAGATGAGGGGTTTATTTCAAAAGACTGATTCTTGTTCAGTAAGAAACTGGCGCGGTCTGCAGATGCGCACGCACTAAATCCATCTTCGACTTAGTTGGGCAGATTCAGAAAAAGTGACCCATACCCTGAATACAAATGCATAAAAAGTGCTGTTTTATGTAAACAAGGAGGAGGTCGTCTCTGGCAAGCAGGATCACATTAGCTGCAATTTAGCTTTTTAAGCACGATCTCTATGGTACATTCTGTATGAGAATCTGTGCATTCAAGCTAAAGGGAACAATATTATCAATGTCTTCCACCATTTGGAGGCTCAGTTACTTACTAAGAGCGTGTCACTGTCCTCTGAGATCCTGGCTCCAATTTGCATCTTCTGCTCTCAGGCCACAAGTAGCGTGAATGTGTCTGACTGTACTGGTGAAGGTCTTTGTGGTCTGAGGCTATGTGAGTGGGAGGCTGTTCCTGTGCCACAGCAGGAACTGGAGACAACTGGCTTCTTCCCGGAAGTGTAGCTGCTCTACACTGTTTCTCAGCTTTGGTTTGCTCATGTAGGGCAAATCTAGACAGCTGAGGACCGACCAGCTGTGGCCCACTGACCTGGAGTACATTGCTGATCTGATGAAAGATGGACAAGTAAGTCTTACAGCAGCAATGCCGTGGCTTTTGCATGATTTACTGTGTCTATACTCGTGCAAGCAGTAAGGCAAGCAGGACCATCATCCCTCAGCAGGACGTCCACCTGGGCAGGTAATCTCAGAGATCCTCCTTTCTAAAAAGCAGTAGCTGTTATATTTAGATTAAACATTTTGTGAGAGATGGAATTTAAATTTTATTGTTCAAAATGATGAAAGAATCATTTATCATCACGGTTTTTAATACTGAGGACAAACAGCAGTGTAGCTTTTCTCTGCAGGTAAGTTTCATATTTTAGAATGGAAAAATTTTCTAAAAGAAAGGACATGAAGTGCGTCAGTTGTGGCGGGAACAGGGTTGTTGGGAAGGACAACTGCTGTCCCTTGGCAAGGGTCCAGTCTGGCAGGTTAATCTGTACCCCCTGGGCAGGTCATCTCTGACACAGAAGGCAGGGTCCACGTGGAGACCACCAAGGGCAACGGCATCTTTACCATCGAGGGGGCTGAGAGGAAGGATGAGGGTGTTTACACCGTGATTGTACGCAACCCAGCGGGAGAGGACACCGCCAACATCAATGTCAAAGTAGTGGGTGAGCCCCCACTCTCCCACCCACTCAGAGTACATTAGCCCTTTTCCACCAACGCAGTGTTGGTGCTGAGCTGGTGCATAATTTGGAACTGGTTCCATGCTTTTCCACTGTCAGTTACCTGACAGCACCACAGAATTCCGGGTGTGAAACCGGGAGCCTATGAGGAGGGGCTACAATGCGCCGTTAGCTTCAGCAGAGTCAAATTTGTCATTTCCGTTGTTTAATGTTTTGTTTGACTTGAGAGTTTCCTGAAAACATACAGAAATTAAAGCAGATCTGGAGAAAGCAGACTACATTCGTAGTAAGGAGCAAATTATTAGCAAATATATATATTAAAAAAGAACTCTCACAAAGCAGCGTAGGATGGAAAAAGTTTAAAAGTGCCCCACTGTTCTTTATTCATTGTTTGTAGCCAGCCTCCAAATTGTGACTGCATCACACAATTGAAAACTGGTGCGTGTTCTCCCAAGTTTATGATCAAGACGGCGATATATGTAGTCAAATGACTAATGAGAGTGAAATTCTGGATCAACTGCGTCGGACTGAATCCAGGGGCTGCTGTGTCCTATAATTGGCTTGTTGGTGGATATACCCAAACAACTGGTGATGCCTGTCTTCTATACAACTGCAAAATCTGCACAGAAAAAATGCAGTAAATAATTAGCGATAAATATTAATCAGTAATGCTTTGTACTGTAGCTAGCTAATGTTTTTGAAAAATAATGTTGTGATTGATGCTAACTAAAGAACAGTGCTTAAGTTAACATTCTCTGTCAAAAAAATATTAGCAAACTCAAAAATGTTACATGCCTGTCATAGAGTGCATATTTACTGTTAGTTTTAACCAGTGGAAATGTGGGCTGGTTCTCACTCCGGCACCAGCACCAGCATCAGCATGGCACTAGTGGAAAAGAGGTTCATGGAAACTAGGCTAACAGGCACTGTCCAAGTCACACATACAAGTGTCCTTTTTCATCTCTGCTTCCCCTGGAAAGCAGCAACTTGTGCCTGCCACAACATTTGACATTTGATATGCCAAGTTGTCAAGGGGAAAATGCCAATATGTACAGCCGTAGGGAGTACCAGTTCACCTAATTTATGGAAGCAGAGAGGGCCTTTAAATATGATCCCAAATAGAATCAATGTCAAGGCCTATAGATCAGCTTAAAGCCAGGCATAGGCTAAGTACATTGACAATTAGGTTATATTCTTGTGATTTCATTCCCTCATTCTGCAATTAAAGGGTTACCTTGAAAGCTGGCATCTTGTCATTGGACAGTCATCAGACTGTCAGTCTGGCATCTTTCCACTGTTTGTGACGCTGAGCGGCACAGCTGGTTCTGCTGCACATTGACCTGCATCCCTAGCGAGCTCCAGACAGATTCCTCTGCATCTCCAGAGCCAGACAACATCAGATGACACCATTGCTACATGTGTTTTTATGCATAAATTATGGCCACCTTGACCTGTTCTTTTGTTTATGAAGTAGCACATGATTAAGCTATAAAGAGAGCTTAATTACCTTTATCTGCCTGCTGTTAGCTATACTGAAGGCATCAAGCATGAAAAATACCAGCTGATCATTTGGAGTAGATGAATTGAGCTAACGTCATTTTAAACTTTTATTATTATTATTATTATTATTATTATTAATAATAATAATAATTTCAGTATCCTCATCCATCATTTATGCTAAGGGTGTTTTCACATAATGAAACATTTGTTTTCAATTGGAATTCCTCAGTATCTTTAAATTATTACCATTAGATCAAATTCTCCAACAAAAATAATAGATGGGTAATAAATGATCAGAATGGTACTCTGGTAAACTGGAAATATAAAGTACTGAAGGCTTCCCATGTTTCTACCATCGGCATGGTAGCTGCGGTCCATGTCAGTCATTTATTGTATTCCCTATTTCCAGATGTGCCAGATCCCCCTCAGGCACCCAGAATTCTGAGCGTTGGGGAAGATTCCTGTATCGTCCAGTGGGATCCACCATTGTTTGATGGTGGCCAGCCTATAATTGGTCAGTATAAACAACATATACCTGTGACACACTTTGACATTTGAAGATAAATGTAATTTCTCTTATGGTAATTCTCTTGTTTGCAATACCTGGATTTTAATTAGGAAACCAAGAGTAGACCTCCCACTATTTTTTATGGTATTTTACGTAGAGATCCTACAAAATTGAAACATGGTTTCATAATGTTATGTGAATCAGCCTTTCTGTGACCTTTATAATTATTGATATGACATAAATCTTCAGAATCATCAGAGATATTTAAATCTCCCCTTAGGTTATGTACTGGAGAGGAAGAAGAAGAAGAGCTACAGGTGGATGAGGCTAAATTTCGACCCACATAAGGAGCTTACCTATGAAGCCAAGAGGATGATAGAGGGGATGCTGTATGAGATGCGAGTCCTGGCGGTCAATGCCATCGGCATGTCCCAGCCCAGCCCTGCTTCCCAGCCCTTCGTGCCGATTGGTCAGTCCCTTTATTTTTTACCTCCTTTGACCTTGTAAGAGGCATCCCTCTTGGACCCATATATACAGTTTTTCAGTTCACACGATCCTTTTCCAATTGGAATAATAATTATTATTCATTCATTACAAAGACTACGTTTTAGATTATAGGAGATTCATTCCCTCATTTTTGTTAAATTGTTGCCAAATTTTTTTTGTTCCCCGAGTAAAACATGGCCACAATTTAATTAAAATGAGGGAACGAATTAGTAAAACGTGACCATGTTTTAATGTATCGTTCCTACAATGTATATAATTTTTATCATGATCATTCACATGATACATTAACACGTGGCCACGACATATAATTTTCATCATGAGTGGGGCTTCATAGTCCTCCAACATATAGCTAAATTGTCATTGGTCAAGCTTTAGACTTCTTAATCAAGGACCATGGAGTCAGTTTCAGGAAGATACATCTGTAGGAAAACTCAACAGCCTGTGGGATTTATTATGGTAAGTAAGTGAACTGCATGGGGTACAGAGAGGCCCCCCTCCCCTTACTGGTCCTGGTTCAATGGGTGTGAACACGGAGGTATCCATCTGAGCCTGTTTTTAATCCAGCAGGTTCAGAGGTCACACAAGCAGGTGGTTAGGAAACTATGCCCAGCATTTACCTCTATAAATACATGTATATTAGAGAGCTGCAAGGTTAGGCCCGACTACACTGCAGCAGAGAGAGCTCACCCTGCTGCCACGGCCACCGTCTCGTATCCCAGGGAAACACGCTGGCCCAGGGGCCACAGGGGGCAGAGCAGTACTGAAGAGTCTCTAAACTCAGGTGCCTGTAAGAGCCATGACGAAGCCGAAGCTCCCCAAGATGGCAGAGAAGCAGCCAGTGGAAGAAGGACACTTGGAACTAGAAGTCGCACCTGAAGATGCCCCTAAGAAGACAGGGGATCCTGCACCAGAACAGCCCCCGACAGATGAACCTGGCCAGCCGGAGCCCACATCTGCTGAAGGAGGCCCAGCTGCAGAGGAAGGAGCCACATCCATTGAGGAGATGCCTTCAGATGCAGAGCCCATGCCTGAGGCGGAACCAGAACCAGAACCTGTTGGCAGTAGGCTTCTGTTTTTAGCTATAATGTGTTCAAAGGAAAAAGGAAAATATTAACACTAAAACATGGGCCATTGAACACGGGCTATTTAGCTGCATTTGTAAATGTTTGCTTTCTCTGTAATGAAATATACCAATGTTTTAACTGGTTCCATTTTATTCAATATGGTATTTTGATTTGTTGAAGAAGCAAATGCACATTATTGTTGTTTTTGTTTGCTTTTGGTCTTATGTGCAACCTGTATAGTATTGGTGTGATTGTCACAATTTAAGTTGTGTTTGGCTTGTGTTTATATTAGTTGCTTAGGTTTTTCTATTGCTTGCAACTTAAATTATGTACCAATGTAAACAAACTGGGGCAGTTATGTTTATTTGGCAGGGCTGTAATACTATTAAGATTCCAGGTTTGCTTATTCTACGGCTGCCATTCTGAGCGAAAGACAGCAGACCAGCCTTCATTAAACTCTATTGATTTATGCTGCTCAGATAAGATAAGCTTTATGGATCCCTGGGGGAAATTCTTTAAACAGTAATTTGAGTTCCGTCAATAAAAGGATGAACATCATTCATTCAGACATCATGGTGAGACTTTGGTTGACACGAATGAATGATAATGTTTGACCCTTACTCACGTTCTCCCCCCCCC